GGGGACCAGCGAGTCATCATCAACATCGCGGGGCTGAGGTTTGAGACGCGGCTCAAGACCCTCAACCAGTTCCCCGAGACCTTGCTTGGGGACCCAGAAAAGAGGATGCGTTACTTCGACTCCATGAGGAATGAATATTTCTTTGATAGGAACAGGCCCAGTTTTGATGGGATCCTGTACTATTACCAGTCCGGCGGGAAAATACGACGCCCAGCCAACGTCCCCATTGATGTCTTCGCTGATGAAATCACCTTCTACGAGCTGGGTGATGAAGCCATGGACCAGTTCAGGGAGGATGAAGGGTTCATCAAGGACCCTGAGACCCTCTTACCAACCAATGACTTTCATAGGCAATTCTGGCTGCTCTTCGAGTACCCCGAAAGCTCCAGCGCGGCCAGGGGTGTAGCTTTGGTCTCTGTACTGGTCATTGTCATCTCCATCATCATCTTCTGCATGGAGACCTTGCCAGAGTTCAGGGAGGAAAGGGAATTTAAGTCCCCCCAGGAGCTTTCTAAGAATGTGACGGACACCTTGCTGTCCCACAGCACCTTCACAGACCCTTTCTTCGTCATAGAGACTGCCTGCATCGTCTGGTTCTCCTTCGAGCTCTTTGTCCGGTTCATCGTGTGCCCCAGCAAGACCGAGTTCTTCAGAAACATCATGAACATTATCGACATCGTGTCCATCATCCCCTACTTTGTGACGCTCACCACCGAGCTGATCCAGCAGAGCGAACTCAACGGGCAGCAGAACATGTCCTTGGCCATCCTGCGGATCATCCGGCTGGTCAGGGTTTTCCGCATCTTCAAGCTCTCCCGGCACTCCAAGGGGCTGCAGATCCTGGGGCAGACCCTCAAGGCCAGCATGCGGGAGCTGGGCTTGCTCATCTTCTTCCTCTTCATCGGCGTCATCCTCTTCTCCAGCGCCGTCTACTTCGCCGAAGTGGATGAACCGCAGTCCCACTTCTCCAGCATCCCCGACGGCTTCTGGTGGGCCGTGGTCACGATGACGACCGTCGGCTACGGAGACATGTGTCCCACCACCTTGGGTGGGAAGATCGTGGGCACTCTGTGCGCCATCGCGGGGGTCTTGACCATCGCGCTGCCCGTCCCCGTCATCGTCTCGAACTTCAACTATTTCTACCACAGGGAGACGGAGAACGAAGAGAAGCAGATTCTGCCTGGGGAGGTGGAGCGATTGCTCAGCGTGGTGACGGGCAATGGCAGCATGGAGTCGCTCAACAAAACCAACGGGGGTTACCCTCGAGACAAGGCCAAAAAATGATGGTCGAAGACGTGATGGGACTGGGCACCATCAGGTGGGATTGGCTGGATAAGGTATAAAACATCTGCACGCTGTGATTTTTTTTTTTTTAACCAACTGTGCTGCTGCATTTTTTTTTATTTTATTTTTTTTCCCCCTAGGCATTTTTCAATCTCTGATTTCCTGCGGCTATTCAAATAAATACCATCTTTCTTATCACTCTTCCTGGCCCATCAGTCTGGTTTTTATTATTTGATGCTCATCTGCTTGACATTTAGCTTCTGGATCCACAGAGTCTGACTGGAGTTCCCCATGTATAGAAATTTCCCCCCATTTACAGGAGAGGAGAAAAGGGCAAACCGATGTGAGATGCTTTTCTCGGTGGTGCCCAGCTGTTCAGGGATGAAGATGGGTCCAAGTCTTTGCTTTTCTTAATCCATTTAGAGTAAATCCTTCTCACTCACTGCTCCAGATCAGGGGGCTGACCAATTCCCAGGTCTGGGACAGCTCTGATTGACAAATAAGCTGGAAAAAAAAATATTTAAAATTAGAAGTTATATTTTTAGCTGGATGAGTTCCCTACTTGAATAATTTAGTTGGCACAGCAGGATGGGCAACGATGGATGGGACCATTCCAAGAGGTGAGGGGATTGGGAGGAGAGGGGTTGGTGACCGGTCACGGTGGCACGGCCACCAAAAAAAAGTCCAGGGCACTGCGGCTCAACTCCTCTTGGGGCTCCTGATGGAAAACTCTGCTCTGCCGGGGGGGGGATTTCTCCTGCCACACATTCTCACCCGAGGGGTTATCTGGTGTGCAAGGGCCCTTGGGGACGAGCCACCACGACCTTGTGGTGTTCGTTGTCACTTAGGTTGCCGCAAACGGGGTGCAGAGCGACAGGGGCTGATGTTTCCTGACGGCTCAGCTTCGCGTTTTAGGAAGGCACTTCTGGTTTTCTAAAACCCACAAATTCCCACCGGCGCTTCCCATGGGAGAAGGCAGCACTTTTGCTGTTCTCTCCAATGCCAGCAGGTTTTCTGCCGACAGAAACATTTTGTTCCAGCTTCACTGTTTCACTTGGCTCTTTTTTTTTTTTTTAAATGTTTCTGCCTACATTAAAATCACAGTTTCTCATGCGGTGTCTACACATCCGCTTTGATTCACCACATCTGTTAGACGCGATGTCTCATCTCCTAAAGGTTCGACACGATCATTACACAACGTGCCAGCATCTCGGGTTCGCAATTTCATTCAGAAAGGAGCCAGAAAGATGGATTTTTTTTTTAATTATTATTCCTGGTCAGATTGAAAAACTGAGTTTGGGCTTGCTGGGATATTCCCCGTGGCAGAAATTCTGCAGCCCTGGTCTGGGGGGTTGTTATTTTGGTTTTGGGGTGGTTTCTTTATGGACTCTTTTTCTGCAGTGAGGTCTTCTGCACCCCAGGGAGATGGATTTGGGACATGACCAGCACAACTTCTACTTTGTTTGTTAGCATTTCCCTCCCCAAACTTTGCTCCCGACCTGCCAAAGCCTGAAGCACTTTTGGTGTTTATCCCTTGGGAAGTCACCAGGAGAAACCTTGGTGGAAAGATTTGGGGTGGGCGATATTCAGCCTCTCCCTATGAGCGCGTCTTCACTGCTCCTGCTCCCTCAGCACCTGAAATGGTGCTGGGATGGATGGATGGATGGATGGATGGATGGATGGATGGATGGAGATGGATGGAGATGGATGGAAGGATGGATGGAGGGACGGATGGAGGGATGGAGGGAGGGAGGGAGGGATGGATGGGGATGGATGGGTGGATGGATGGAGACGGATGAATGGAGACGGAGGGAGGGATGGATGGGTGGATGGATGGATGGATGGATGGACAGATGGATGGATGGAAGGACAAACAACCTGATTCCTATTAACTTGTAACCTTTATTCTCCAATAAAAGAATAGATGCTTCAAAGTCTAGCATGCAGAGAATACTGTTTATTTGGACTCACCTTTTTCTTCTTGACTTTGTGCTGCTCCATGGGAGCTGGTCCCCAGCTGGAAATCATTTTGGGGGAGTGGCATTGAGACATGGGATGTTACAGAGCTCCAGATCTGTGAGCTGAGGGAAAACCCTGCAGCAGTTCCCCCAGTCCTTTGGCTCACATCATCCATTGTGGGAAGGACAGGTCTGAGGGGGATCCCTGATTCATGCTCTGAAGACAGGGTCAGGGGCATTAAACCTCTTCAGACACAACAGCTTGTTCCTGATTTATCCTAACGAGGAGGAACACCAGGCTATGAATACACAATGTCAACACTCAGCTGGTGCTTGATAAAAACCTGCCAGAAAAGCCATTTTCCCCACACGATTTGCAGCTCAGTACTTTCCCAATTGCAGGCCCAAAGCTCCACAAAATCCATAAAAGGCTCTTATTAGGTGTATTATTCTTGAGTCAAGCCCTAATGAGCCAATCTGTCACATCCTCTAGCTGAATTCCCTCTTGAAATTTTGTGCTGCCACAGGAAAAAAAAAAAAAAGCTAAAAAGAAGACAAGAAATCTCTTTGCTTTATCAGAAAGATGCTCCTGGCTGCTTTTTATCCCTGGAGTAAACTGGCACCTGCGGCCATGAGTGGAATATTTGTCTCTCTCCCTCTTTGAGCTGAAAATTTCCTTGAAGCATCCTTTTGCCACCCAACAGCTACTCTGGCAGTTCCCCAGTGCACACCAGTTCGGTTCTGGCACTGCAGCCACGAGATGGCACTCCAGGATAGACATTGCCCTGGACCTAGACAGTCCTGACACGTGTCTTTCCCCCTCTCTAATTCCTGTTTGGAAGCTTTTAGGGTTTATTTCTTTATTAAAGCATGTAGGAACACAGAGGTGGGAAGAGGTGCTTTGTCCATGGGGGATGCTCTCAGCGGGGAGCCCATTGCAGGACGATATTTGCCAGGGAGTCTCCAGAAAAGGGTTTAGGAGGTGCCTCCTGGCACAGCATCTCCATCTCACTCCTTGAGCTACAGCCCCTGAGTGCTCCCAATGGGTCTTGTCCACCCTGGCAGGGGCTGGTCCATGGGTGCTGAGTGTCAGAGCCATGGTTCCCACGACCTCAGCTTCATTCCTTATTGCTTGTTGCGATGAAAATATTCCTGTGGTGGAGCCAAAGGAAAGCCCTGTCTGCTCAAAATCCAGGCTTGAGTCCCTCTTGGGCACAAACGATTCCACCCACTGGGACTGAGTGATCCAGGGATGTGTGAGCTCAAGGAGCCGGGGCGGGGGGTTAAATCCCAACTCCACCATCCCACGTCATAAATTCCTTTCTTCAAGGGAGAGCGACTTGTGAATGTTCAGAAGAGGAAAAAAGTCATTTCCCATCCTGATTACCTGCATCTCTCCCTCCACATACCCATTCACTTTGGGTAAGCAATCACTGGGTCCCTTTTATAAATAAATGATGTGAATAGCCCCTTATCCCTCAACACAGTCAGAATGAAGCAGCAGCAGGGACTGAGCTCCTGGCTCTTGCTGCCATGACCATCTCACAGTACAGGCTGGTCCATCCTTGGGAAAAGGATGTTATAATGGGATGCTTTATGGAGGAACTGAAATGCAAGAGGCAGCCTTGAACTTTGAACCATCAACATTTTATTCATGTGTGAGTGAGAGATTCCTTAGCGCTCTCTTGCTACACCAAAGAACATGGTTGTTGTCTGGTTGTGTGATGAAATCACAGCGCTGGTGGCATTGTGGTGCATCTAAATAGCCTTGGCCAGTCCAACACGGTTGTTGGCCCGGTCAAAGATGCTGTAGTACACCCTGATGAAGACATCTCCCAAGATCCAGAGGTTCCCAGAGGTGTTCTGGAAGCCGCTTACGCAAGGTCCTTGGTCATTCTGCATTTGAGCAAGAAGAGGCAAACGGGGGAAATGCAGGCCAGTATCTTTTCTTGCATTGCTCTGGAGGCCCATGGCCATTCAACCCATCTCCCGTTGGAATGGGGGAAGCCAAGGTGGCCACCGGAGGAGGTAGAGGGACCTTGAGAGAGGGTGCTGAAACCAGGTCCACTTGGTCCTCCCTTACCTGCTCGGTGTAAGCCACGGCGGACACAGGATAGTGCACCCCATCGATGACAAAGATGACATCGGGCATGGCAGAAACGGAGCTGCAGTTCACCTTGTACTGCGGAGGGCGGGAGAAAGAGGCTCTTAGGGAAGAAGCAACATGTCCATGGGGCAAGGAGGGAAGGAGTTTGATTTCACTGGAAAAAACTAGAGACTGGGAGTGTCTCATGGTGGTCTCGGAGCTGTGGGATTGGTTTCCTGGGAGTGGAGATGCACTTTCCCCTTGTGTGGGAGCAGGACTGGCACGGGGCTCGGCAGTGCCCAGCTGTCTCCAGGGTGAGCAGAGGAATCCATGGGTGCTCCTACCTCTCCATACGTGTCCTGCCAGGCCCCGACCACTCTCTGGATGTTACTGATGTCTGAGGGTGGCCCAGCCACGAGGGAAGTGCCAGTGTCGACGATGGCTTGGCAGCCACCACTGCATGCAATCTCCTGGTTGTTCACGAGGATGCTGGGGGGTACAGACAGAGCAGGGGGCTGTTATTTAACCAGATGGGTCTTAGCGATGCTTTTGACCTTCTTTTACAAGAATCAAAGCTGGGTAATCTCAAGTGCTGCCCTTGAGGCTTTTGCTTCTAGGAGCTTGCAACGTCAGCCAGTGTCACAGCCTCCAGGGGCACTGAGCACAACCCAGCACCTGGCACGAACCAAGCCCGACAAAATAGGTTTTGGACCATAATTTTGCTCTACTCATCCCCAAGAGCACAAGGTTTGTGCAAGAGAGGAACTAGGCTGTGTCCCAGGCACAAAGCGTCCCCATTTTGGGTGGCAATTACCAAGCTACTGTGGATTTTGGCCCCTTAACCTTCTGCATCCCTCAGCCATGGAGTGTTAGTTGCCCGTGGAAAGCACCTGGTCTTGATGTGACCAAGGTCTCTTCAGAAACAAAGGTTATAATTGACCATGGACAGGAAAGTTCTCTTGTTACCTCTCCATGGAGATCTGCCAGTAACCTTGGTAGGAGACAGAGATCCAGTTGATGGAGCCATTGAAATAAGTCTCATCAATCCCTCCGAAGATGACCATGCTTCCTGTTGCCTCACTAACAGACAAAAAAACCAACAAACCCAGCAGCCAGCAGCAAACATCACAAAGTGCATGGGGTGTATCTGCTGCCTTTCCCAGCCCTTGAGCCCTGCATGGCTTACCGGGACAGGTAGACTGAGAAAAGGTTCTCCTCCAGCAAGCTGGCATTCACCAAGTTATCAAACACCGGCGTGATCCCATCAACAGCCAGATTTGGGTAGCCCAAGCCCAGGATCCCATCGAATTCCACGTGGACAAAGAATGGACCGGGCTCAGTGGTGCTTAAGCCGAAGAGCTGGTTGGTGTCCACCAGAGATGCGACCTAGGGATGGGGAGGATGCTGTGAGCTCTGGATCAGGAACTGGTGCTAATCAAGTGGAGAAGGCATAGAGGACTCCCCTAGAGATGTCATCGTGACACTCACGGTGACGATGTCGGAACCCACGACGCCCTCCATCTCCCCGGTGCCGTACTGAATAGACAGCTTCTGCCCCGTGCTTTTGTAGGTGGAGGAGTGGGATGGGTTAAACTTCCGATGGTTTTCTAGAGGGTAAGTGGGAAAACCAGAAATGAAGACTTTCAGCCAGGCTGAGCCGTAAGGGAAGCGTGGGAGGAGTGACCTGCCATTTATTATCCAGCTTTCAGGAACAATTAACCGGGAGAATTTGCTACACGCTCCTGCCCCTCCTCCAGCAACCAGAGATCTGCAGGAAACACTCTTTGGACAGGTGGGGAAACTGAGGCACCAAGCTCTAAGCATATCATCCTGTGGAGCACAGCCCTGAGTAGGTCCTACACCCCAAATACTCCTCTGTCCAGGGCATTGCATAGATGCTATGGACCCAGCACCCGGTCCCCTGGCAACGTCACCCCAATCTTTGGGCTCAATCG